AAGGATGTGGTTAAACTTGTCACATTTTATTTAGAGGCGTTTAGTTCGAGATATGAAATCAGATTTTTTGTTGTTGTTGCTTTGGCAAAGTTTGGAAGGCTTTTCCCATTTCAACATTCCCTTTTTGGCAGACTTTTAATATAAGCTTGAATGGTTAATGCTACCTTTAAGCATTTTGTCCAAGTCATGCCGAGCTCTCTCCGGATTTCTTGTTAAGACAGTGCAAAGATCGCCAATAGTCATATGAGGCTTAGTTGTCTCCAGGTATTTAMACAACTTTATTGTCGCACTGGAAGATTCCATACACAGACTGCATACATGTATTACATCGGCAGGAACATTCAGAGAGTCGGCAAAGTGTTGCCAGCCTTTAATAGCTTTGGTTTGGTGATCCATGCATCTCGAAAATTCATCCAGAGCTGTAGTGAAGTCACTGAAGTCTYTAACATTATAAGTTCTTGGACCGAGGGACAAATGCCGACCTGATTTATAAAAGACATGTTTTACAAAATAATTTACCACCAATTAAAATATGAAATGAAAAAAAAATACAATAAAACTTAGACACTATTCGTACCTCTTGACGGCGATGTTTTTTGCACGCAGCTGTTTTCTGGCGGAGGAGAGTTTGCGCTAACCGGCGGATCACCATCAGAAACTGCAGAAACAAGCAGAGAATGTTCAAAGAGAACAAGTAGCCTTTATGTCGAAATTGACCACATAACAAGAATCTGTTTGTTCGAACAGGACGAAAAAAACCTACAAACACTCAAATTTACATAAAAATTCATTGAAACTGAAAGTCGCTAGAGCCGAACCAACATTTTTTTGCATTAATGAAAACTTTTGTTTGTCAATTTTGATAAATTTTGATTATTTCATATAGAAACGCTTTCGAAATTAGGAGTACATGAAAATGTGAGATGATAAAGAAGATGCAGCATGCAAAAAAGACTTTTGCGAATTCGAAGACGAAGTCGTTCGTGTTTTCTAGACGCAATCAGCTCAAACTCTCAAATCAGTTCAAAGTATATTAAAACTTTACAAATATCCAGCCATCTTACCTTGGCTCATATTTAATCGACTCAAAGATTATTCTGTGTTAACGAAAGTATCCACCTTTACAAAAGACATTTGTTATGTTGTTCGAACTTTTTGCAAGAAACAACCAACTAGATGGCGATTCCACAGATCTAAATTAAGCTATCCAAGCGCAGCTTGAAAATCCATTGGAGAATAGCTACTGCTATCATAGTACAATCGGAATCGTTCTTCTGTGATTTAAAGTATTCCGCACTTATTGGGTTCGTAGAGAGATGACTATATGTTGGCACAACAACCTGATAACATTTAATTGCTATGCTATGCTTGCATAATTGACAAGGAACTTGTATTGGCAGGTAACCCAATCCTGCTGTCCGATAAAAATAATAATATACTTTTGAAAACTATGAAATACCAATTTCTTATCTTTCTCCTGAAAACATTCAAAATAGGTATTCAAATAAAAAAACAAAAACAAAGAGAGCTTGAATTTCAGCCTTTTTGTGATCCAGCAATGACGCAATGGTCTATTTTAAGAATTCCCAGAACTGGGGTGAATCACATCAGATGTGACATTCTGGAAATCGTGCATAATTAATGATTGTTAATCAAAAACAATCAAGCCTTGGTCAACATCGAAATTGATAAGTCCCAAAACTTTATAGTTTAACTTTAGAATTTGTTAATCGAGCTCAGCCCCACCTAATTATGATTTTGAATACT